GCTCAGCCTGGCAGCAGCACAGGCAGGGAGGGCACCCCCGGTGAGTGCGATCCCCCTTTCCCACCCCTCCGGACCCCCCTTCCCTTCTCTGGCCCTACAACACCCCCCCTAAAGTGGGGTCCCCCTATGCCGCACCCTGTCTGTGGGTCCCCTTCCTGGCATAAACCCAGATCTTGCCCTAAATCTCCCAAATTCAGCCTCCTCCTGCTTCAAACTGGTTTCTAAGTCGGGCAGACAGCCGGGTCTGAGCCCATCGCCGTGGCTTCATGGCCGCTCAGCCCCTTCTTCCTCCCTGCTGGTGGGGTCTCGTCCTGGGAGATGCACCCTGGGTTTGGGGTGACCCTTTTTTGGGGGGTGAGCTGCCAGTACTGCAGGTATAGGGTGCTCAGGAGCAGGGGGGGGACGGGGTGGATACCCTGGGGGATGACAGTGGTTTGTGGGGCTGGCGTGCCCTGAAGGATGGCACACGTGGGGGACCGTGTCCCCGTGTCCCTTCCCGTCCTCACCTGCCCCGAGGCCCCGGTTGAGGCACCAGGGTATGTGAGGGCGCAGAGGGTCCCGGATGGGCTGGCAGAGGGGCACTGTGTCCCTGGGGGGGTCAGAGAGGGTCTGGGACCCCTGGGGAGGGAAATCCCTGGGAGAGTTTAGGGCAGTGACCCATCAGGATGGGTCCATGGGGGTGCGGGGGGACCTCTCCCCCCCTGCCAGGGTGGTTGGAGATCCTGGCCCTGGGCTAGGACCAACGGGGAGCAAAGGAGGTCCCTGCTCACCCTGGGAGAGCTGGCCTGGAGTGAGTGGGGTCAATGCACTGCAGGATCAGTCCCAGAGGTGTTATTTAGGATGAGGGGACCCCAGGCAGCCCCCCCAGGGTCCCTTGGGTGCCAGCTCTGCACCCTGCAAGGGTGCAGGACATGGGTGGTACCCACGGTCCCAGCACGTCCCGAGGGAAAGCTCGCGTTGAGCCCAACCGGTCCAGCCCCCCGGGACAGCTGTTCCTCCCGCTGTCCCCAGCCTGGGGAGGAGAGGGGGGGCAGGCAGGGGCCTCAAAGCTTCGGGGGCTTTATTGCCTCTGTGGAAGGAGTGAAATTTGAGGAGGGGGCTGCTGCAAACACAAAGGATTTGGACGTTCTCACTCCTACCCTTGCTGCGTGGCAGAGGAGGTGCTTCAAGGACCATTTTGGGGTCATCATTGGGTCCAGCAGGACATCCCCGGCATCATCCTGCGGACACTGCCACTGCGGGGACAGCCCCGGCTGAGCCTCCTTGTTCTTCCCCGTAGGCTGGGCGAGGACATGGAGGAGGATAACCGGACGGAGACCTGGCACCAAAGCCTCCAG